CAAAGAACAGAGAAATCTAAGGAAAATTCACAAAAATAATTATCCTGCTAAGTAGAATAAAACTGTGCTTGCTTGGACTGAATTGAAGTAAAAATTTTTCCTAGAGGTCAATGTCTGAGTTACAGAATTTTTTAAATTTTTAAAAAGAGAATTGGTGTTTCATTATGATAAGATAATAGTTGCTATTTATGAACTTTTTTTTAAAAGATTTATTTATTTATTTATACAAGCACTGGGTACAGTCAGAAGTGCAGGAGGGTGAGAGAATTCACCAGAGCCAGAGAGGAGAGCAGAACAGGCAGACTGAGGAAGTACACTGCTGAGGGGAGCAGCGGGCGGCAGGAGAGGTCTGCGCGCCATGTGGGACCCTCGCTGGTACCCAGGGATCAAACCGGCGCTGCAGAGGCTGCAGGCAGCTTCGCAACCCAGTGCTCAACCTCTGCGACACCGCAGAGGCCCCTATTTATGAACTTTTGTTCTTACTTGGGTGCTGGGCCGTGAGTCTGACACACATCTGGGAGAGAAGTAATTGTTGGACATATTAGCTTATGTGTTATCCTCTTTCCCCCAAACCTTGTTAACAACAGACTTAATTATTATAAAGTCCTTGTAAATAGCCGAATCAAAAAGCCAAAAAGTCCTACAATGAATTATTTAAAAATGTTATAGTTTTACTATATGCCATGATGACGTGGTAAACAGTTTCCTAAATTAGTTCAAATCATACACTTTTGAAATTATATACTATAATTTTAAAATGTAGATCTGTGTGTCTTCTGAAATCCTGTAATACAAAGGATGGGAAAACAGATTAGGTGAGTCTGTGTCCCTACCAAGCAGGGTCCCCTCCTCTTTTGAGTTGGCATAGGGCCATTCCCCCAACCCCTCACACACATACAACCTCAGGAAGACTCCTTCAGGAGAGATTGTGCTCTCCTCGAGTGCAGCCTCTTGCTTGTAGGCAGTGGGACTTGATGAAGAAAACTGGTGTACTTAAGTTGTTAATAGAGAGAACACCTGGGGAAATATTAGCTTGTAACTATGAACCTTAGTACCATTCCCAAGTCAAGAATGGCAGATGTCAGGTTTGGACGGAGTCTCCAAACATGAGTCTTAGATTGGGACAGGCCTGCTAAAAATAGGAAATGGATGGGGCTGAAGCTGAGGCTCCCAGTGGAAATCTCTCACAGGGCACCCGCTTTAGCCTGAGAAGACCAGGCTGTATCAGGGACACTAGGCTCACAGCAGTTCCAGAGAGACTAATTCCAGAAAGTCACACCAGTTACTCTGGCCTCAGATGTAGCTTCCTTTATGTACAGTCATGCACATAATTTGCAGCTTCCTCCATTACATTTCCTTGAGCATCCCATACGCTTCCTGTCTCAGAACCCACTGGACATGTTTTCTCTGCAAGGAAATTCCTTCCCTCAACTTCTTATATTTCAGGTCTCACCTCCTAGAGTTCTCTAAGGAGTCTTTTTGCTTTCTTCCTTTCACTCTGTTCCCTTCATGGCACATGGCACAAATTTAATTCCATGTCTGTTTGTCGGTTCATTGGTCTTTTGTCTGCTTCTGCCATTAGTCTGGAAGTCCCCAGAAGGGCATATCTGACTGTTCATCATTGATTCCAGTGTTGAGCACAGAGCTGGGAACAGGGTAGGTGTTCAATAAATGTTGCCAAGTAAATAGAGGAAGGAATGAAACTCCCAACCACTCCCTGGGCAAAATATTTGGAAGAAAATTTCAGTAGAACCATGGAGTAAGAAATTATTAAGCGCCTTTGGAAAAAGGGTAATTCAATTTTAAAACATCCTCTGCAAGAATCCCAGGAGAAAAAGAAACATAAATAATTTGGTTTGTGGTATTTCCTGGAAATGTCTTAATGAGATCGCCCATCTGACATCCAAAGCTGTGGGAATGTTGCCCCTTTCATAGTTTGTCTCTTCCTGGTTGCATTTCCAACAGGATTATAATGAGAAAATAAGAGCTTAGATTTTCATTACCCTGAGATATTATGTACGGATTTTGAAGGACTATTAAGGCAATATTGACATCTTGGTCACTTTACTACTCCTCAGCATGAAAAAAAGGAGTATAAAATCTGGTTATTTCATAACAGTTTTAGTAAAGATGTGGGAGGAGAGGATGTAAAAGTTATTGGCCAGACTGAGGTTTATATTAAGACAGTAAATTTCATTTATTTAATGTGTCCCTACGCACCATGGCCATAGCCTTTCAGTCTCTGAATCATAAGCCCAACTCCAGATTGACACAGTGGAGGTTATGGCTGTTACTGTCTGGGGCTGAACTTGGAACTGGTGGGACCTATATTTCATTGCTGCACTGATCTACTGGTTGGAGAGTGGACCCCACAGCTTTGGGGTTACTAATTTGTGCTGCAGAATTAATTTGAGCACAGAGTAGGTCTACTCTTCGGGGTGTGGGCTGAGCATCCAGATGAGGAAGGAACTGTGAGGGAAGAAGAAATACCCTCCTTCAATCCTAGTAGCTTAATACTGGAGAAGCTCACTTAGAATTCATTCTTTCATTCATTCATTCATTCATTCACTCACTCACTCACTCACTCACTCACTCACTCACTCACTCACTCATTCATCCAAAACACATTTTATACCCTGTGAATAATGAGCAGTAACTACAACGTAGCAGACATCAGCTGGATGCCCACTTTTCCCAATTCTTGTTGCATTGCAATGGGGAACATAAAAATCACCATGCAGGATGAATCTGAACAAAGTGATCATGATGACCAATGGGAAAAATTATGATTCCTCCATGACCTTTAAAAACTCTTATTGTTGGGTCTCCCCAGTAGTGCAGCGGTTGAGCGCTGGGTTGCGAAGCTGCCCACAGCATCTGCAGCGCCGGTTCGATCCCCGGCTGCTCCCCGGCCACCGGAGGAGGGTCCAACATGCCGCCCGCTGCTCCCCTCAGCAGTGTACCTCGGTCCTTCTGCCTGCTCTGCCTGCTCTGCTCCCTCCTCTAACTCTGGTGAATTCTCTCACCTTCCCACGCTTCTAACTGTACCCAGTGCTTGTATAAATAAATAAATAAATAAACAAACAAACAAACAAATAATAAATAAATCTTAAAAAAAAAACTCTTATTGTTGGTTATAAATGTGTAGGAAAATGTAAACGACAGTAAAGCAATTTTTTAGTACTCTCAATCAATAATATTAGAAACACTGCAAATTTGTGTCAAAAAGCTTATCAAGACTTCTTTGCATAGTACTTGCCTTCTCTTCTCATCCTATAACAATATGGGCAAACATCCTTTCTAATTGTTGGCAAATTATCATAATCCTTTCTAAGTTTAGATCAGCTTCCAGCATTTTATCCTTTGCTCTTTCTATGTCAACATGAAGTATCTTTGAGAGTTCCTTGAATGTGAAATGGCTTGCCAGCATCACTTCTTCCAGGACATCATCATGTGTGTGTGTTTTTTTTTTTTTTTTTTGGTCATGACCACTTTGTTCGTTTATGTCAATAAATTTGCCCTCACTGGTTCCTCTGACTGCAAATTTAGAATAAATCTGACAGGAAAGATGTCAAATTCCATGGTTGGCTATTTTTTTCTGAATCTTCATTTAAATTTGACTTCTAGGAAATGACTTTTCATTACCATGCTGCACTTTTATCTTTTCTGGCTAATTCTCTCTTTTGATTATCAATATTTGCAAAATTTCACCTGGGTTTATAACTGGGAGACAAGAAGGCAACCCAATTACTGGCTTCTTGTCTGTGTGTGAACTGACTAGAAAGTAGGAAGTGACCAATCACCAATAGATGTTAGGAAAAGCAACAATTTGTTTGCAATCGTGGTGTGAATTTGCTTTTTTTTTTTATCAAGTGATTTGTGAATTGAAGAATGAGCAGTGAATGTTATACTTGATGAAATTATTCACAATTCATATGTCATAGTACCTTCAGTTTGAACGGTGTTATGAGGCGAGGGATTTGTGCTATTTAATGAAATTGTAATAATTAAAGTTCAAGCATATTGACACACTGCAAAGTGGAAATGCCCACACATGATAGGGGTAACTAGACAGTGTATGTGTGGGGTATTAATAGAGAGTCCCACCCGGTCTGCAGAGTCAAAGAAGGTTTCCTAGAAAAGGTCACATATAAGCTGATATTTGATAAATGGGGAGGAGTTAGTCTGAAGAAGGAAGGAGGAGTGTCAGGGGAAAATTGTTCTAGGCAGAGGTTGGCAAACACATAAAGCCCCAAACGTAAGAAAGTGCATGGGGCATGGGGTGGCAGCCCTGGTTGTTTCAGGCTGGTTGTGGGTGACAGCCTATTTCATTGTCTTGCCTGCCTCCAGCCCTACAGGCTATTGCTCTTGGTTACCAGGCAGCAGTGGCTGCTGTGGGTGGGAACCTCAAATGCTCTGTTTTGGGATAGTCACCCGATACAGCTGCTGAAGGACAGTCTACTGCTTCGTGCAGACCCAGGGGCCCACCTTTGGCAGCCGGGAAAGTCACCAGAAAAATGGAAACAAATCAAACAAAATGAATTCATGCTGGTTTGTATACTTGATGTAAGAAACACTAATTTTGAAGATACAAATATTCTACATACAGAGAGAAAAATCCCTTTTACAAGTCCTAGTTCAGAAAGTTAGTTCAAATCTTATATGAATACATGATAAACTGCATTTCTTATCAAACTAAACACAGCATATAGTGTCTTATTCTATCTGGCTAAAAGCTGAATGGTTATTATTAGCTGCCCAGCCCAGACAATACTTTTATAAATAGCTCATCTCCCCATTTTACAGATGGGGGAGCAAAGGTTAAGTCACTGTAGGGTTACAGATTCGAACCTAAGACTTATTCTAAGCCTGAACTTTTAGTCACTCTATTACCACTCTATTAAATTATAATTAATGTAAACAAACACCAATGTGAAACTGAATGATTATTTTGTATAAGATAAACAGACCGAGATAAATACTAGTCAAGAATGTCTTACCTTTGTAGAAACATGAGACAGAATATGCTAAAGAGCAGGAGTTTTCAGAAGTTTGGTGAAACTCAGTGGAATGCCAGGCATGAACAATGAATTCAAGATTCTATTAGGAAAGCAAAACAATAATATTATCTCAATTATTGAGTTAAGGAGATTTCACCATCTACATTCTAGCCATGAGTAAGACATTTATTTGAATTAGATAAGAAGACATAATGTCATTTGAAGGAGGCCCAGTAAATTTAATAATAGAGATAAATGAAACTGACAATGATCTCACACTTTATAAATCTAAACATGGAACCAAGGTTAGACACAGAGACCCTAGTGGTTGATGAATGAGCTTGTATGCTACTTTTCACACCATCTACTAGAGCCTGGACATGATTTTTGTTTCCGTTTTCCAAACAAGGAGATTAAGAAAGAAGTAATTCAATTCACATTAAATCATGAGCAGGAGCAAGAAACAACCTTGAACCTCCCCTACTCAAACAGCAGCTCTGTTGGTAATTTAATCACTAACTGAGTTGTGTAACTTGCCTATGACAAATGGTAAAATACCTAAAATGTGGAAATCTGCCAGAGCAATTCCTTCAATGGAAAGGGGGAGGGAAACCCTAGGTTGCTCACATAATTTCTGCTATATTGTCTCTTGCTTCCTGCCCTCAATTGCTGAAATTACTTTTGTTCTAGGGTAGAACATGGGGATAGTTCTGGATCTAGCAAGAGGGTGAAGTTACTACAACATTTTGGGATTTTCTACTTCTCTCCCCACCGCCACTTGGTACTTGCTATTACCAAATGCCACGAATGCAGATGCATGGCAGGCACAACCGTGCGGCTCCAGCAAGTTAAAATGTTAGCAAGGAATGATTATGATGTCCTCCATGGTCTAGCTTCTTCTTCATTGTATGGTCTAATCTCAAGGCTTTTTTTCCCCTGTCTTGTTCAATATTTAGTTTTGGACATGGACATTTTAAATACAATTAGTCTGGGCTATTCATTCCTTTCCTAATAACCAAAACTTTTCATTCTTTAGTTTCAACTGGAGCTTCGATTTCTCTTGAAAGCTTTTCTAGGTCATCTGAACTATATTAGGTCTCCTTGTCACCAGCATCCATAGCTGCCAGCACTTCTAGCATTAAATATGCTTCGTTTTCTCTGCAAGATTAGGAAGTCTGTGTGGGCAGGTTCGGTGCCCATCTTGTCATCATTGCATTCCTATACCCAGCACAGTGCCCAGGATGTCATCTATCCTCAGTATTTGCCTTCTTCTTTTTCTTTTTTCAGAAACTATTGTATTAAGACATATGCAAGTGTGTAAATGATAATATCACACCCCCAAGGTATTGACTATAGACACAAATCAACGTCCTTGCTTATCACTCCCTGATCAAATTCTGCTCTCTAGAGCACCTATTAATCTGAATTTGGTTGCAACTATTCCCATACATTTCTTAATATTTTCATTATGCATATATGCAAACTTAAAATATTGTTATTTTGAATGTTTTATTCTCTACATATGTAACACTGTATATATCCTTCTGCAAGTGGCATCTTTTAACTTTTTTTAGTGGTTCATTCCGGCTGTTGTATTCAGCTAGAGGTTGTTTTATTCTATACCACTCAATTGCTTAGCAGTTTCATTACACTGGTAACATAAAGTTTCAGTTTTTATTCTGTAAAATTGAAATAACAGACTTCTGCCTAACTGCCAAGGTTGTTACAATGATCAAGTGAAATATTGTTGCGGAAAAGATTTTGAAACTTGATGTGTTGTGCAACAATGGAACACCAACACATTTTATTACCAAATAATATGGCAGAAAAGTTGAAATGAAACAATACAAGAACATAATTTATCACCTGCTATGCTTAGAAATGTTATCACCTACAGTTTTTTTTTTAATCCTGGGGGTGTAAATAATACCTATTCCCAAAGGACAGATTGGCCAAAAATCAGTCTTTTGAGAGAAATATGTTTGGATCTATGGGTTTCCACTGCTATAAAATCCTAGCAAGGAGATTACGGAAATAAGTCAAATTGTTTCCAGTAAGGTATTTGTTGCAAAGGTTCTGTCTTTAAGCTCAGATGTATGTTAAAGCAGGAGAATTGTAGTGGTTTCAATTAAAGAGTTTCCTAGTGTAGAAGAGTTGGATTCAAATAGACTCTACTTTCCTTCTCTTTAATGAGGATAAGAAGATAATCTCACAGGACTGTTAGGAAGGTTAAATGAGCTAATGCACGTAAAGCAACATACTCAGCCATTTCAGTACGAGGCTCTAAACCAGGCTTACTTGAAATTTCTCAACAGGTGAGGCAAGGTTTCTGGGCTTTTGTTCCTCCCACGTGATCTCAATTCAGATTAACGCCTCTTCACCATTTTAAAGAGTTGGCCTTGGCGCACAGCCTCAGGACAGTCAGCTGTCATATGGCTACTGACATTTCTGAATAAATAGCCAAGGCTGCTAGAATATGTTAAGGGAACTGAGAGTGCTACCACTATTACAAAGTTTAGATCTGCCAAATATTTCTGACCTGAAAGTATTGACTTCTGATTTGAAAACCCAGGAAGAGCGGTTGGGTTAATTTGCTTAATAGTTAGCCAGCCACAAAAAGAGGGTTTCAAATTCATTCATAAAGTACAATTTTAATCATGCAATCTTGGTCTCATGCAAATGCTGGGAAAAGATAAGGTTAAAACCCAGTGTCAGAACTCTAGTTTCCTACAGATTTTTTCCTATTCATATCTGCTTTACCAGAATCCTTCTGTTTTATTCTTATGGTCATAATGACTCAAAGAATATATTTACCCTGTGCATTTGCACGCTGATGCTGTGTTCCTGGGAACTGACTTGTGTTGCAAGCACACACTTCTCTCTATAAACACATCCCCTGTAAAGGTCTCTCCATTACTAGGAAGGAGGTGAAAGAGCAAGGGGGAGGGACTAGGACAATGTCCTTTCTATTCTGTCAATAGTAATAGTAATCTTGGGAGGCTTCCTGGAGGGCATATGCCTACAAAAGGTGGGTGGAGATGAGGAGGTGGAATCTTGCTCTCACAGATTTCTTTTGTTACTATATATCCTCCACTTGTTCACTAGAATAGGCTTATTAAGCTCCTGATACCAGGCAACATAGCACAGTGGGTTGGGAACCAGACTCCTGGGGTTAAATCCCAATTGTGCCACTAATGAGTCGTGTGATCTTAGACAAGTTAATTTCTCTGTATCTCAATTTCTTCACCTGTAAAATAGGAATAATAATAGTATTGCTCTCATAGGATTGTTGTTGAGGTTGTGTAAGTTAAATCTACATGTTGAAATCTACATATCAACATCTACATCTACCTGTAATTCTTTAAACAGTGACTGGATAATTGTAACAGTTCAATAAATATTAGCCATTACTGATACTCTCTGTTAGAGATTGTAATTGGTATTGAGACTAGTACTACTGTAAAATGTTATAGACAGAGCTTTTCCGATAAGTTTATTAGTTTTTCAGGATGAAGAAGAGGATTTAAAAAAATAAAACCGAAACATTGTGGCTATAATCTTCTTGTCCATGACAAATAGTTCAAACTTGCTAAGCTGATGCCTAGGACTGGTTTGGCAGGCAAAGACACCAAACTATGTTTAATGGTAAAGAAAAATGCTATTTTCTATCTGCTAAATAAATTGTCCTTTCCAAATGGAAAACATTGCAGTCATTTCAGTTTGCCAGTGAGCTCAACCAATGCTGTTGGAGCATCACAAATGGAACGTAATATAAAAGTATACACATAATGTACTGTTCTAAATTCAAAGAGTGCATTTCTCTTACATGGCTATTCCCCGAAATTTTCAGAGAGATGATGCATAGAATGAGGTGGTTATTATGCTGAAAATGAACAGTAAAACAGAGGAGGGGTAGTAGGGGCTAATGGAGTTGAGGGAAACCATTAACTTGTATAAGAGGGGAGTGCATAAGAAATCACATTCACCCTTTCATTTTATGGGAAGACTAAACCTCTTACTACAGTTTGGAGTTCACAGATAAGAATCTTTAAAGAAACTGAAAAAAAAAAAAGCAAAACAAAAATGTCCACAAATGGAAAGCTTACATGTTTGCTCAATAGTCTATTGTTCAGCAATGCTCCTAAGAAAATGACTTTTTTTGTAACCCACATTCCTCACACTGCAGTCAAAGTCTGCAGAAAGATGCTGCTGCAACTACTATAGAAAACACACCACATAACTAGAATTCCTGGGGCATGGGTTGTTTTTATTGTTGCAGTTCTGCTTAGTTCAGACTAAGAATTTACTTCAAACTTTCTGCTGAAAGACTTTTTTTCTTTTTGGGAAAGGAAAGCTAGAAAATACAGTAGAGGGAAATATTTGAATCATTGAATAACTCAGAACTGTCATGGGCTTCAGAGCTCATTAGGAGGAAGACGATTATGACTTGGTAGGCCTGTAGATGTGGAATGCTGGAAAGCCCTAGACTCATCTGCATTTCTATCAGGAATATGTGGAAGTAGTGCTTTTTATGAGAAAGGAAGAAACTGGAAGACATTCAATATCAGAGCCTTTCCTCAGGGTTGATAGTGAATAAAAAAGAAAACCCCCAGTTGTATTAAATTTGAGGGTTGTAGCACCAGCCACAGTTTATATGTTTTTTAAAAAACACCTTTACAGGGAGATAATTCACATACTATAAAATTGACCCATTTAAATTATATATGAATTCAATATTTTTAGTATGTTCACAAGATTGCACAATCATCACATAATCAATTTCATAACATTTTATCACCACCCAAAGAAACCCCATTACTATTAGCAGCCACTCCCCATCCCTATTCCCCATCCCTATTCCCCATCCCATGTCCTAACCTTAGGCATCTGCTAATTTACTTCCTATTGCTATGGAATTGTCTTTTCTGGACATTTCACATAAATGGAATCATATGAAATGTTTAGTGATTTGCCTCTTTCACCTAGCATAATATTTTCAAGTTCCATCAATGTTGTATAATCTTCATTTTTATAAATTAATGAGTATTTTTTTATACCTTTTATGAACATAATATATTTTGCTTATCTGTTTATCAGCTG